TCACCTCAGCCTCCCAAAGGCGCGGGATTACAGGCTGAGCCACCAAGCCCGGCTGACAACTTTATTTTTATTTTTAATTTTTTGTGGAGACAAAGTCTCACTCTGTTGCCCAGGCTGGTCTCAACCCCTGGGATCAAGCAATCCTCCCATCCCAGCCTCCCAAAGTGCTGTGATTACAAGTATCAATTTGATTTTAAAATTATTATCTGGTGGCAAGGAAAAAATAGTAAATTATCTGAAAACATAGTGGGTAGATACTTTTATATTTTGAAATTATCATTACAGATATCAACTAAAACATTTGATAGGAAATAGTTATGGTGGAAATAAAGTTATTGTGATGACAGTATTCTAAAAAAAGGTCCTTGCTGGGTGCGGTGGCTCATGCCTGTAATCACAGCACTTTGGGAGACAAAAGCAAGAAGACTGTCTGAGCCCAGGGGTTAGGAACTTGCCAACCTGGGCACCAACTTAACAAGACCTCATCTCTACAATAAATTTTTAAAATTTTGCCAGGTGTAGTAGTGTGTATCTGTTGTTCCAGCTATTTGGAAGGCTGAGGGAGAGGGATTGCCTGAGTCTAGCAGATCAAGGCTGTGGTAGCCATGAGCATGCCACTGCACTCCAGCCTGGGTGAGAGTGAGACTTCAAATCAAAAGTAAAAAAAATAAAAATAAAATAAATAAAAAGAGGTCATCTTTCATGAAGTGCCGTAAGTAATGTAGGAATAGGTAAGAAATGAATTCCATAAATTGATAGATCCTAAAGAGAATCACTATAATTGATTTTCAAAAGTAAATAACATTACTAGATTTTTAAGTTATATGCAAAATTATTTTTTTTCTTTTTGAAAAATATTTGTTACAAAAGCCCCGTCATTAAGAGCTCCATCTATAACTAGGATGAGGGAGTTGTTAGACTTTCTCAAGCCCTTGGGTTAGCATTACTAAGGCTTTTAAAAGTGTTTGAAGGATCATGAAAACTTGACCGACAGGTCACCCGTGATAGACTGTAAGCCCACATTCTTAACTTTTGGAGTTTCCTGCCATGTGGCCTTCAACATCTGTTCCCTTAACAAGAAGGAGCTGAGTGGAGGAGTATAGAATGTGAGAAATGGTAGCGGGATGAACTGAGACAGGAAAAGGTAAATGATAAAGGAGGAGAAGGAACTCATACATGAGTACTTACCATGAACTTTATTTTTATTTTTAATTTTTTGTGGAGAAAAAGTCTCACTCTGTTGCCCAGGCTGGTCTCAAACCCCTGGGATCAAGCAGTCCTCCCATCCCAGCCTCCCAAAGTGCTGTGATTACAAGCATCAATTTGATTTTAAAATTATTATCTGGTGGCAAGGAAAAAATAGTAAATTATCTGAAAACATAGTGGGTAGATACTTTTATATTTTGAAATTATCATTACAGATATCAACTAAAACATTTGATAGGAAATAGTGAACTAGACTGAGCACTCCACATGCTATATTATTACATTACAGGGATAAGGTATTTATTTTTAAAAATGAAAAGTGAAAAAAAAAGTTGTTCAAGTTCCTATATTAAGTTAATGAAAAGAAAACAAAAGTGAGATTTAACAGTACCTGAGTTGAAATTATGTCCTTTTCTATTTTTGGAGAATTGTTAAGTGTGGATTATCAAATAAGAGTTTTACTATAATATTGTATTTTTTCCACAGATGCAATAGAATATCTTGTGGTAAATGATTCATTTTGCTCCCTGGAAAAGTGGCAAGAAATGGCAGGTATATGTTTACAGAATGGCTTTGAGAGATTATCTAATGACATCATGTCCATTCTTCGATCTCAGGCTGGAGTTACAGAAATTTCTGAAGAGGACGATACAGTCAACTTAATGGAACATGTTTTTTGGTAGTTCCATATCTTAACCAGTTGAGGGAGCTTGTACAACATTTTTATGTATGTATGGCAAACTGATTTTAGCATAACTAACTTATAAATAAATATAGAGTTAAAAACTCTCAGAAATAAATCATGCTTCTTTTGTTATGATGACATTTAGATTTGTCCTTGAAACATTACCATTGCTTTCTTTTTTCCACACATTATTTCTTATATTGAATTTTGATAATATCTAAGATGGTAACTTTGTACAAAACAGTGTAGGCATTTTTATATAAGGTAGTGGCTAGATATGTTACTTTCTGGTCATCTAATTTTATAGCAAGAACTAAGGAAAGTGTGGGTAGTATTCTGTCTGATAGACTGCCTTCTCAGACTCAAATGCTACAGGCCTGACTTGACAAGATAAGCAGGATATCATTTCAAGGTTGAATTCACTGGCCAAAACCTGAAGTATAGTAATTGTACTGCATGTGCTTCACACTTTAATATATATAAATATGGCAAAATTTAGACTTCTACCATAAAAGTTGGGAATCTTGGCGTGTTCTTACTTAGAGAGGAAACTAACCACATTTTACATAGAAGTAGACCTAGGAAACTGTGGGCACAACAGGTTCAAGGCTGGTTTACACCTGTAAAACCAGCACTTTGAGTAGCCGAGACTGAGAATCACTTGAGACCAGAAGTTCAATACCAGCTTGGACAACATAGTGAGACCTCATCCCTAGAAAAAAAGAAAAAATTAGTCAGTCATGGTGGTGTGTGCCTGTAGTCCCAGCTACTCAGGAGGCTGAGGTGGGAGGAATGTTTGAACCCAGGAGTTCAAGATTGCAGTGAGCCAAGATCATGCCACTGCACTCCAACCTGGGTGACAGAGCAAGACCCTGTCTCTAAAACCAAACCAAAGAAAAATAATAAAGAATGAGGTTTGGGTGATTTCAAGTGTCTGAATAAATATTTGATTAAAAACTCAAGAGTTCTATACCATGGGCAGTTGTCATATTCAAAATATTTAATGATCACTGTGACATGGGTACCAGTCAAGCTGAACTGATACCCAACTAATCAGAACAGTCTTCAGGCCTTAGGCCACACCAGAGCATACCAGCTGAATGCCAGCTGAATGGGACATGGTAAAAATGAGCTGTTCTTAGACAAAATAAAGAGCAGAAAGCATAACTTTTCCCTTCCTAAATTTAGATTGAATGTGTACTTTTAAATTTTATAGTGGAAAGAATGTGGACTAGGAGTCAGACAGCTTCATATTAAAATTCTGATCCTACCTCTTATTCATTTGTAAAATATGGGCAGTAATACCTCTGCTAGGTTTGTTGTGAGGATTAGTGATAATGTATGTGTAGTGTAAGTGTACAACATAGTGGAGAACTTAGCAGAAGATAGCTGTTATTCCTATGTAATAGGCCCAGAAACACATATTCCTCTACTTAGCTTACACTTACTCAATACTGCATTTCCTTTTCTTTCTTTTTTTTTGAGTTGGAGTCTCATTCTGCCACCTTGGCTGGAGTGCAGTGGCACAATCATGGCTCGCTGCAGCCTCAAACTTCTGGGCTCAGGTAATCCTGCTTCAGCCTGCCAGGTAGCTGGGACTACAAGCATGTATCACCCTACCTGGCTTTTTTTTTTCTTTTTTTAAATAGAGCCAAGGTCCTACTATGTTGCTTAGGCTAGTCTTGAACTCCTGGGTTCCAGCAATTCACTCACCTTGACCTCCCAAAGTACTTCGGATTACAAGAATGAGCCACCATGCTTGGCTAAATCCCACATTTCTATCCACTTGCAATTATAAATATTTATCCTTCTTTGGAGTATTTGCTGTATTAGTCTAACATATTGCCTATATTAAGCTATCTGTCCACACTCATATCAGGATAGCCTGACTTATAAATCCAGAAGCGTTCTGACTGAGTTTTTAATTTTTTCATATAGTGCTAAACACACTATGTGAAAACATAATCTGTGCTCTCAAACATAATATTTTTACTAAAGTAATACATGTGCATGCATAGTTTAAAAATCAACTTATTACTAAAAGGCTATAATAACTAATAATCTTTTGATTTCTGTTCTTCACGTTAGCTCTTGAAAAGAACAGATGAAGGATGGATAAAAAAATGGAAACAGAGGGCATTTTGGCAGCACTGATTCTTTGTGTAAGAATGGCTGAGAGTAGTTTCAGCTACTTGGAAGGCTGAGGCGGAAGGATCGCCTAAGCCCAGCAGGCCGAGGCTGCGGTGGCAGTGAGCGTGCTGCTACACTCCTGCCGGGGTGACAAGAATGAGACTCCAACTCAAAAATAATAATAGTAATAATAATAATAATGACTGAGAACCTTATTTTCTTTGAGACCCGTATGACGGATAGAAAGCTATCGTGTCCACTGACAGCTTAGAAAAAAAAATGTGCCCATGAATGCCAGGGGATAAAGTAGGTATGAAAATCTGGAGAAGCCTTGAAACAGCAGCTGCTGTTGTTGTCCTGTTAATTTGCCTTAGTTTTAAAATGGTTTTCCTCCACTCATTATTATTCCTTCTCAGAGTTATTGTGGGCAGCTTTCCCCAGGAAAGTGAAAGTTGTCAAATGAATATAAATTTAAATACCTGGAGATGGAAAATGGAGCTGTGAGGAAGAGCAAGGATATAAAGTCAAGTGGGGAAGGAGAAGGAATTTGGTTGTGAGTTCCCCAGGGCCTGAAAGCTGTGAGCACCTCCGTGTAAGCTGCACTGAAGGAGGTACACTGTGGGCCTCACCGTGCAGAAGCCTGCGTTCTAGACAAGCTCTGCTACTGTCTAGCTTGGTGTCCTTTTCCTCGTGTTTAAGATTACTTTATTTTAACTACGTAATTTCTCTTGTCATTTTCAACTCTAAAATTCAGTAGTTTTGAAAAGGTAGAAGTTATTTCCCAGTGCTTATTGACTAACCTGCCTAAATTTGAAATTCTGAGGTTCAACATCAGCATTAACACCACATACTGAATACCTATTTTGCATACTGTTTCTGCTATCAAGATTACAACTTCAATGGGAAGACATAACAAGTTTTTAAAATTGTTAACAATAATTTCTCAGTATCATATAGTATCCAGTCCATATTCAGATTTCACCAATTGCTTAAAAATGCCGTTTTGCATTTGAGTTGTTCCATCAAGTTCTAATCAACATTCATGTGCTCTACTTGGTCTCACTGTCTAGTGTATCTCCTCTCCTCTCTCTTTTTTTCTCTTGCCATTGACTATTTCACATATAGCAAAGGCCATGATGAACTAAGTTTCTCAGACTTATGTATGCAGAACCAGCCCTGAATCCAGGAATGAAGCCCCCCTGGTCATAGTGGATGATCCTTGAAATGTGTTATTGGATCCAATTTGCTAGAATCTTGTGGAGAATTTTTGTGTCTATGTTCATCAAAAAGATTGGCCTGTAATTCTCTTTCCTTGTTGGGTCTTTGCCAGGTTTGGGTATTAGTATGATGTTAGCTTCATAAAATGAGTTGGGGGAGAATTCTATCATTCTTGATTGCCTGGAATACTTTCAATAAGATTAGTATCAGCTCCTCCTTATATGTCTTATATAATTCAGCTGGGAAGTCATCTGGTCTGGGCTTTTTTTGGTGGGGATAATTCTTATGACTGACTCAATTTCCTGGATTGTTATTGATCTGTTTTTTGGGTTTTTTTGAGTTGCAGTCTCACTTTGTTGCCCAGGCTGGAGTGCAGTGGCACACATGCTCACGGCCACCCCAGAGTTGACCTGCTGGGCTTAGGCCATCCTTCTGCCTCAGCATTCCAAGTGGTCAGAACTACAGGTGTGTGCTACTATACCCAGCTAGTTTTTTATTTATTGTAGAGACGAGGTCTCGTCAAGTTGCTGTGGCTGGTCTCAAACCTGTGGGGTTAGGCAATCCACTCGCCTCAGCCTCCCAAAGTGCTAGGATTGCAGACTGAGCCACTGAACCTGGCCTGATCTGTTTAGAGATTCAATTTCTTCTTGTTTCAACCTTGGGAGGTTGTGTGATATCAGAAAGTCCTCCATTTCCTTTAGGTTTTCTAGCTTATTTTGCATGCAGGTGTTCATAGTAATCCTTTCATTACTATGATAATCTTTTTAATTTCTTCAAGGTCAGTTGTGACTTCATCTTTTGCATTTCTTTTCTTTTTTAGTGGAGTCTCACTCTCTTGCCCAGGCTGGAGTGCAGTGGCACAATCATGGCCACTGTAGCCTCTACTTGTTGGGCCCAGGCGATCTTTCTGCCTCAGCCTTCCAAGTAGCTAGAACCAAAGGCATGAACCACTATGTCTGGCTAATTTTTAAAAATTTATTGTAGAGATAGGTCTCACCAAGTTGCCCAGGCTGGTCTCGAGTCCACGGGCTCAGGCACTCCTCTCACCTTGGCCTCCAAAGTGCTGGGATTATAGGCATGAGCCACCATGTCTGACCTTGCAGGAATTTTTTTATTTTTGGCTTGATTTCTGTGTTGACCCAGAAGTCATTCAGCAGCATGTTGTTTAGTGTCCATGTATTTGTGTATTTTGGGGGGAATCTTGTTGGCGGCAATATTTATTTCTATTCCACTGTGATCTGAGAAGATTCAGGGTATTATTTCAATCTTTTGAAATTTGTTCATGCTTGATTTATGCCTAAGAATGTGATTGATCTTGGAGTATGTTCCATGTACTGATGAGCAGAATGTACACTTTGTAGCTATTGGGTAGAGTGTTCTGTAGATATCTATTGTATCCATTTGTTCAAGTGCCAGGCTAGCTTAGTTGGTAGAGCATGAGACTCTTAAATCCATTTGATTGAGCATTGAGTTAAGGTTTCAAATCTACTTGTTATTTTTTGTTTATTTATTTTTTTGCTTCAATGATCTAGCTAGAGCTGTGAGTGGGATATTTAGGTCCCCAACTATAATTGTGTAAGGATCAATGTCCTTTCTTACTTAGTAGTTGTTTTAGAAAACCTGGTGCTCCTGTGTTGGGTGCATATATATTTTTTTGTTTTTGTTTTTTTAATCAATATTTTTTATTATGATATTGTGAATCAATATTTTTTATTATGATATTGTGGGGTACAGTTAAGGGTTAAGTATACAAATATGCTTCATTCAGGTACCCTTGTTGATATGAGGTG